GAGAGTGTGTGTGTGTGTGTGTGAGAGAGAGAGAGAGAGTGTGTGTGTGTGTGTGTGTGAGAGAGTGAGTGAGAGTGTGTGTGTGTGTGTGTGTGAGAGAGTGAGTGAGAGTGTGTGTGTGTGCTGCCACACAGTGCTGGCCAAATGATTAGAACACTAGTATTCTCAGCAGCTAGAAATGGTTGTAAGTCAGTTATTTCTATTGTTTGCTGGAGTGTGTCAGGAGGAAATATCACTTTATGTTTCCAAACATTCATTTGTCATTAACTGTACTAATGCAGTGAGATATATGTTAGTGCTGCACACAGACAGAGATGTGATCTGATCATCATCAGTCTGTCTGGAGTCACATGAAGAAACACAACACACTGAGACAGACTCAATCCAGAAGAACTGACGCTTCTAGAAACCTCCTGCAAACTCTGCTCAAGTGCACCGAGAGCTAAAGCTGCTTCAAACACAAAGATGCTCACACCAAATGCTGATTTCATATAAAGAAAATCTATTTATGATAGCATCTTCATTTTACAGCATTTTACTCAAACTTCTAACAGCACGGTAGCTTTGCAGGAGGTTTCTGGAAGCGTTCTAGACAGTCTGTTTTTTAGCTATATGAGTTAGATTAGTGTGAGTGTGTGTTTGTGGTGGGATTGCTCTGATCTGAAGGATCTCCGCTCCTGTATTCTGTCGTATAGCTAGAGTTAGTTGCTGGACTCTTCTGTTTATGGAAGTGTAGTTTCTGAGAGACCGCTGGAGGAGGATTCTGGGTAACTGTGGTTCTGTGGTGGAGTTGTGAACGCTCACGCTGGCGTATATCTGCGTTTCGTTTCTGTGTTAAGAGGGTTGGTACATGTTATTGTGTGGAAATTATTTTTTGCAGTAATAATATTCTGCCCATAATGGGCCAAAAATGCTGGCAACCGTACGGCTTGTTTCCACCGTATGGAGCAGATCTGTACTTGCCCGGCCACTAAACTATTATGCGTTTTGTCTTTAGCAACATATTTATATTTCTCATTTTTGTTTAGTTTGAAGCGCTAATATTATATTAGTTCCGGTGCTTGACTCTGATTGGCTGAGCCGCGTTCGAAGCTGTTGTAAATGACGCTACAAAGTAACACACACCTTTGTTTACTTCTGTGTGTTGCTCGGCAACCACTTTGTAGCAACCACAACTGTTTCTGAGGAGCTACATTGTTTGGTGGAAGAATACTGTGTTTATTAATATCATTACACTTTATTTGCTCCGTTTTATTTTGTGAAACCTTACTACGTATATGCAATAACCGTTTTATAAAAGCAATAACCCCCGTGAAGCCGTGAATTAACCTAACTCCGGGGCGTTAGCTGTTATAAATTCACTGTAAACCACGGCTTCACGCAGCTTATTGCTTTATAAAGTAAGACTAATAAAAAGCAGCAAAAGTGACAAACCACGATAAAATTACTAAGACTTTTAACTAAAATGAAAGAGGGAAAAAGTCATTACATGTTGCGTTTTTTTCTTTACTCTAAAAATGCTAGGTTTTTAATTTGCAGGCATCTGAAAATCGCACTACTATAAATGCACAGTTTATTTTCTTGTAAAATGGTGCATGTGATTGTTTGCTTAGTAAACTGAAATTAGTCCAGGGTGTTTTGATGAATCCTCCAGACACGTGAGATTTAGTGAACCGTCGCTGTCTTTACTCTCGAGTTTGCCGGAGGGTTTTATTATTAATATAATATAATATATATATATATGACTGGAGTTCTGTAAATCTCCTCCTGCAGCTCTCACGGTGTAATACTGATGTTGATGTGGAGCTCATGAGGTTTTGTCTGCGGTCTGAAGTGCTCACGTGTGAGCTAAGCATGAACACGAGTGCACGGTGTTGCTTTCTGTCATGCGCTGGATCAGGGTTTTCTGTGTCAGAGTCTGTTTTTGAGGTTAAACTGGTTTGTGCTGGTTTGCGTCTGTCGCTGGGCTGTGTGGGTAACTTTAGACGGGCTGATGTGGGTCACTGCGTTCACGCTCTGTTTTGAGGACAAACGCACTGATCCGGTGACTGAGCACTTCTGGGACTCGTACTATAGTGAGGTATTATGTAGTAGTTTCACCGTAATCATCCGCTTCTGCTCGCACACTGATCAGTGATATACAGCCTGTATATTACACTCGAACCTCTAGTTAAGAACCGGGTTAGCCTGACAGTCAAGGGTTAATCAGTGACTTTGAAAACGCAAACACACAAAACTTATAACAAAACGCTAATAATAATAATTGCACAGAGAGATTAAAATAAGTAGAGAGAGAAAGTTACATGAAAATATATTTTTATTTATAAAAAAGTAAAATAAATAGTATTACGATAAGCAAAAAAAAGTACATAATATAGTATTTGTATTAGTACAAATGTCAAACCCGGCAGAAAACACACTCCCGCTCAAATACTCAACCTAAAAGTGCCATAAAAAAAATAAGTAATATTAGAAAATGAAGACTTAAGAACATATTAGTCACCAGTTTGATGAAAAGAAATAAAGGGAACCATATTTGGTCAAATAACAACGTTTTGTCCTGTAAGATACACCGGAGTTCGAGTGCGTCAGTCACAATATCTCAGAAGCTTTAACATCTGAAGAACATTTCTGTTTCATCAAAGGTTCTTCAGATTATAAAGTTATTATTTAAAGAACCTTTGACTGAATGGTTCTCTGTGGAACCTAAAATGGTTCTTCTATGGCATCGCTGTGAGGACGCTTATTTTTTTGGGGAAATATATATTTATTGAACATTTTTTAGTGCAAAGCGTACAAAAACATTCACCGTAAGCACCAATAAATGATCCGTCGTCACCTCCCCTCAAAATAAATAAATGAGTTATTATAAAACAAGTACACAAATAACTAAAAAAACATAAATAAAAGAAAATACAGAGACACTGAGAAGTACCTTGTAATATACCATTAAAAAACATATTCATCAGGTACTTGTGTTGTATTAAGACGCTTCTTTTATCCAAGCCAAGTCTAACAAGCCTGCCTTCAGTCTTCTGGACTTTATCAATGGGCAAGACACCAAATCCTCTTAATTAAATACCGAACCTGTAAATACTAAAGGAAATCTTGATTAGTTTCCCCAAATTTGTTCTTAACCTGTTGGAATGTGAGAGTGGAATCATCCTGAATAATTTAAACACAATCTAAAGTCTGATATTCGATGGGAAGTTTTTAAACCCAAGTAAGAGAACCCTGTAGGGATATGATATATATATACAGTATATATTAGGGCTGTCGCGATTCGTCGATACTATTCGACTATTTGATTTGTAAAAATCCTCGACTTCTTCATATTGCTCGCGTCGACTAACCGGCGGAATACCGGAAGTGGCGCATTTCAGGGACGAGAATCCATAAAACACATTATTAGAATATTATATAATTCATAATTAAGCATAACTGTGAATTCACAAATGCTACGATTTAATTAAGTGGTTATATGTGATGCAGTTATAGGCGTGTAGGTTACGTACATGCGTCACACAGCGGCTCCGTTCACATTAGTTCCACAGGAGCTGTTATCATTTACATCATGTGGGTATTCTTTTAGTTACGGTGGCTATAGCATCTCTGTCCTAAAGAAATGGCCAAATATTAAAGATTAAGTGGACGTTTGAATGAAATGGTGCTTGGTCAATATTAAACAAGGATTAGATCGCACAGTAATGTGTAAAAACAATCATCAGGCTGTTGGCGCCCCCTGCAGGCCTTTGTTGTAATGCGTAATGTACATTAGCTCTATTGTTTATAATACATTTATGTATTTTAACAGTTTTATTCAATAAAACCATATGATTTCTTGCTTTTGATACTTGATTTGAACTAATTATTATTGCCTCATTGCTATTATACATGTATTTTAAATACATTTAAAGGCTATTGTTCACTTAACCTACATCTATTTTTATTACCACAAAAATGAATTATTAATTATAATATTTTATTATTAGCAGACCAGAGCACGTGGACATGTTGTCATTCTTACACTGTAATACTGAACTCTGATTTCAAACATTTTCAAGTGTAGGGTTAAAAATTCAAAAATGAACGATATCGGCATCGTTTATGTGGGAGAGTTCGGTTAGAATCATTCAAGCCAATAAAAATGAGAGCATGTTCAGATTTAATGATATCACACCAATTCTACAAAAAACGTACATTAATATGGCCCGAGGTCTGAGCTTGATTCTGTGTCGCTGGGGATCTATCCCAATATTGAAGAGAAAAATCACAATTGGTGCATAATGAAAGAAAAGATTGCTAAAGTCAACAGATTTTACTAACAGACCAATCTCTGTAAAACTAACTTAATGATGCTGCCGTCTTTCTGAAGTCATTTTCACCCCCCCTCAGTTGACCCCCTTTTACAAACTAGTGCGTTACTCGGTCAATATTCATCCATGAGATTTAATATTTTGGCTTTCATCACTATACATGGTCTGTCTGTCTTCAGAACAGATATGAGCAAAATCTCAAATTTGAGCCGGGGAAGTTTTTGAAATGTTTGATTTGACACAGAATGACCTTATAATCAATATGCTATCTGCTTCAAAATGTATCTGAAAACACATCTTTTGGTTACGCTTTACTTTAAGCATTATGTATAATGCATTATAAAGGTATTCATAATATTAGTTGTAGTGCATTATGATATTTGAAGGTTTGTTTGTTATGTGTTTTAATGCATTATACTCTCTAAAGGTGTAATGATGAATTATATTCTATGTGGTTACAATCATAAGGAGCATTGCATGGCATAATTAATGCATTACTACTACTTTTATAATGCGTTGCATATATGTGTCCCTGCAGCACAAAAGCAGTGTTAAGTCGCTGGGGGATATTTGTAGCAATAGCCAACAATACATTGTATGGGTCACAATTATACATTTCTCTTTTATGCCAAAAATCATTAGGATATTAAGTAAAGATCATGTTCCATGAAGATATTTAGTAAATGTCCTACCGTAAATATATCAAAACTTAATGTTTGATTAGTAATATGCATTGCTAAGAACTTCATTTGAACAACTTTAAAGATGATTTTCTCAATATTTTGATTTTTTTGCACCCTCAGATTCCAGATTTTCAAATATTGTCTGATCCTAACAAACCATACATCAATGGAAAGCTTATTTATTCAGCTTTCAGCTGATGTATACATCTCAAGTTCACAAAATTGACCCTTATGAGTGTTTTTGTGCTCCAGGGTCACATATAAAGTCTTACCAAATTTTATTCCAGAAATGTAGTAATTTTGGATGCATAAAAATGCAACAGTTTGTAATCGAATAATTGACATGTCACGTAATGGTGACGCTTTTGGACATATTTTGTTCAGTTTGCACTTGGAATGATGTAAAGCACTTTAAACTGAATAAGACAGCCTTATGTGTAGCATTAAAAGTCAAGATGTTTTTGTGATCATTTAGTGTCTGTCTCAGGGGTTTGTGGGGATGTCCGGCGTGAGATGAGCTCCTCTGACCCGCTGCTGGAGGAGCTGGAGGCGTCCGGAGCCGTGCAGATCGTCATCTCGGACGAGCAGCATCACCAGTTCTCTCTGGACGAGGAGGCGCTGGAGCAGATCCTGCTGCAGGAGCGCGTGAGGGATCTCCATGTGGTGGTGGTGTCTGTAGCTGGAGCCTTCCGCAAGGGCAAGTCCTTCCTGCTGGACTTCATGCTCAGATACATGTACAGCCAGGTCAGGATCACCGCTCAGACAAACACCACACGGCTGCGTTTAATTCATCAAAAATACAGTAAAAATGTGAAATATTATTAGAATGTAAAACAGCTGTTCTCTATGTGAATCTCTGTTAAACTGTAATGTATTTCTGTGATGCGCAGCTGTATTTTCAGCATCATTCCTCCAGTCTTCAGTGTCACATGATCTTCAGAAATCAGTATAATATGCTGATCTGCTGCTCGAGAAACATTTCTGATTATTATCAATGTTGAACACAGTCGTGCTGCACAATATTTTTGTGGAAACTGTCATACATCTAATTTTTCAGGATTCACAGATGAATAGAAAGTTCAAAAGAAGAGCATTTATTTGAAATAGAAATCTTGTGTGAAATTATAAATGTCTTTACTGTAGGGCTGCTCGATTATGACAAAATTCAGAATCACGATTATTTTGGTCAATATTGTAATCATGATTATTTAATACGATTATATGACCAAATCTTTAAATGAATGATATATGAATAATCTAAAACAGCATAATCACACTGTAAGAGTTAAACTTCATTTGTTACTTATTAAAGCTACAGAAGTCGTTCAGTGAAGAGCAGTGAGTGATTATGTCTTTGTCTTTGTTGTTTGATTAATATTAAGCACACAGTCGCAGCAGGAAGATTAGGCTGCTGTCACTTTAAGAGCCGCACTGATTCAATTTACTGTTACACACGTATTTTCATTCTCAACTGTTTACGTTCATTTATTACATAACCGACAAGGGATTACGTGAATAACCACTAAGCGCTGCATTTTGACACATGTTTGTGTGTATTTGACCGTTTAGGTGCGCATATTTTTAAATCATACTTAACCTAAACTTTTGAATAGTAGTGTATCGTGTTAAAAAATTATTTTACTTTTTAAAAATAAAAAATATTTTTTTGTAATTGTTTCTCTCTCTCTCTACTTTTAATTATTTTTATTTTTTATTCTTGTATATTTGTATTTTTTTTAATACATATGTTTTTTTAATTGATATTTTTCCTCATTCATTCAACAAGTGACATAATAATGAATCATTAATGCTTAAAAAAGTTGAAAATTCAACTGTTAAAGCATGAAATAAGATACTGAATCAGTGAATTTGAGTTTAATGTGGGTGTATTATTAGTGAAGTGATCATTAAACATTTGTAATCTTTAAAAAAATATTAACCATTTACATTAATTCAGATATTTAACTTATTTTAACATGTTGAAGAAGGCTTCTTCCCTGGCCACTGCCTGCAGCAGTACACTGATCTTTTTCTGTTTTTCCTCATTATCTAGTGCTGTTTTCCTGTGTCAGGCGGTCCTGTGATTTTCACTCTGTGTGTGTGTGTGAGTGAGTGTGTGTGTGAGTGAGTGTGTGTTTTGTGTGAAAACACATTTATGATACACAGCTGTGTGTATTTGTTTTCAGTGATTCTCGAGTGAAAGTGAAGTAATCCAGTCAAATGGAAATAGTTTATTTTTATATATATATTTTATTTTATTATTTATTGCTTTAATATATTTTTTTGTTTATAGTTTTTACTAATTTGTTTGTTTATTTTTATATTTTATTATTTACTTTTTATATTTTTATTGTTATATTTATTATGTTATGTTCTTTTTAATTAATTCATTTTATTATTATTATTTTACTTTTTAAAAATAAAAAATATTTTTTTGTAATTGTTTCTCTCTCTCTCTACTTTTAATTATTTTTATTTTTTATTCTTGTATATTTGTATTTTTTTTAATACATATGTTTTTTTAATTGATATTTTTCCTCATTCATTCAACAAGTGACATAATAATGAATCATTAATGCTTAAAAAAGTTGAAAATTCAACTGTTAAAGCATGAAATAAGATACTGAATCAGTGAATTTGAGTTTAATGTGGGTGTATTATTAGTGAAGTGATCATTAAACATTTGTAATCTTTAAAAAAATATTAACCATTTACATTAATTCAGATATTTAACTTATTTTAACATGTTGAAGAAGGCTTCTTCCCTGGCCACTGCCTGCAGCAGTACACTGATCTTTTTCTGTTTTTCCTCATTAGTATATTTTTTTTTTTTTTTAATACATATGTTTTTTTAATTGATATTTTTCCTCATTCATTCAACCAGTGACATAATAATGAATCATTAATGCTTAAAAAAGTTGAAAATTCAACTGTTAAAGCATGAAATAAGATACTGAATCAGTGAATTTGAGTTTAATGTGGGTGTATTATTAGTGAAGTGATCATTAAACATTTGTAATCTTTAAAAAAATATTAACCATTTACATTAATTCAGATATTTAACTTATTTTAACATGTTGAAGAAGGCTTCTTCCCTGGCCACTGCCTGCAGCAGTACACTGATCTTTTTCTGTTTTTCCTCATTATCTAGTGCTGTTTTCCTGTGTCAGGCGGTCCTGTGATTTTCACTCTGTGTGTGTGTGTGAGTGAGTGTGTGTGTGAGTGAGTGTGTGTGTGAGTGAGTGTGTGTGTGATGCACGAGTGTGAGCGAGTGAGCGTGAGTTAGCGTGTGCGCACAAGTGTGAGTGAGTGAGTGTGAGCAAGTGTGTGCACGAGTGAGTGAGCGTGAGTTAGTGTGAGTGACCGTGCACAAGTGTGAGCAAGATGTGTGTGTTTGTGTGAGTGAGTGAACAAGTGTGTGTGAGCAACTGTGTGTGTGTGTGAGCATATGAATGTGCAAGTGAGTGAGCGTGTCTCTGAAAGAGTGCGAGAGTGTGAGACGCTGCAGTGACGTTGTGTGTCTGTGTTGGTCTGCAGTCGCTGATGTTTCTCATTCGAGACTGGAGTTACCCGTACGAACACGCTTACGGTCTGGATGGGGGAAATAAGTTCCTGGAGAAGAGGCTGCAGGTGGGTCACGTGACGCCGCAGGGATCTGGTTTCTCCTGCTCTTTATCACGCATCACGTGAGCTGAATTATGCCGTGATTCTCAGGTCAAACAGAATCAGCACGAAGAGCTGCAGAACGTCAGGAAGCACATCCACTCCTGCTTCTCCAGCATCAGCTGCTTTCTGCTGCCGCACCCTGGGCTCAAAGTGGCCACCAACCCACACTTCGACGGCCGCTTGCGAGGTGAGAGCGCTGCTTGAAGCAGTGTTTCTGCTGATGACGGGAGAATACTAGCTCCAGCAAAACAGACACTACTTTTGAAATCAGCACTCAAAATTAGTAAGAAACAAGTGTTGGGTTTCAATAAATATGATGCAGGCCAGTGCTATTAATCACTGAAATATAAAATAATCATTAAAGGAGCGTCGTGTGTGTCTGTCTGTCTGTGTGACATGCTCATGCAAAACAGACACTATTTTTGAAATCAGCACCTAAAATTAATAAGAAACAAGTGTTGGGTTTCAGCAAATATGATGCAGGCTAGTGTTATTGATCACTGAAACAAATTAGTATTAGTGTATGAACCAAGATGATCAGTAAACGTGTGTGTGTGTGTGTGTGTGTGTGTGTGTGTAGACATCGATGAGGAGTTCAAGAGGGAGCTGGTGAATCTGGTGCCGCTGCTTCTGGCTCCTGAGAATCTGATGGAGAAGGAGATCAGCGGCTCTAAAGTCACGTGTCGAGATCTGCTGCAGTATTTCAGAGTAAGACACACTTCTCCTCCGCGTCTCCATCGTTCAGATGCCTGCTGGGATTGACCGTGTGTTTCTCTGTCGCAGGCCTACATGAAGATCTATCAGGGCGAAGAACTGCCGCATCCCAAGTCCATGTTACAGGTACAGACAGAATATCAGTTTGGCCCAATCTGAGGTCTATCTATGCATAAGGCCCTTTGATTTTGGTTATGTGCAGTTACAGAAATATATTGCTACTGTGCAACAGAATGAACTTCTCAAAGTAATAATAAAAACTTTATTCATTTATTACAGTTTAGTTAAAATTTTAGAAAAATTAAGACAGAAAACATGTAATTAAAACATGTAAATAAATTAATTTGTGAACAAATAAAACACTTTTTTTAGGGTCCTTCATGTGTCGTTTTTTGAGAGGATCAATCTCAGAATGCTTTGTGATAAGCTCCATGAAATCTTTCATTATTATAGATATTAGGATTCCCACATGTCCTGAGGGCATACAATTATATTAAATGGTATCGTGTGTGAGTCAGGGTTTTCTGGGATTGATCGTGATGTGAGTGCTGTGTGTCTGTCGTGTGCCGCAGGCGACGGCTGAAGCGAATAACCTGGCCGCTGTAGCAGGAGCGAAAGACTCGTACAGCAGGAGCATGGAGCAGGTACGTCTCTCACCTGATCACGTGATCTCTCGGCTGTGACGCCCGTGACACACGCGTGTTCTCCTGTATGCAGGTGTGCGGTGGAGACAGGCCCTACATGTCTCCGGCGGATCTGGAGCGCAGTCACGAGGAGCTGAAGCAGAGCTGTGTGCGTCAGTTCCGCGGCGTGAAGAAGATGGGCGGCGAGGAGCTCTGCCTCCGCTATCAGGAGCAGCTGGAGCAGGAGATCGACGAGGTCTACGCCAGCTTCCTCAAACACAACGATGGGAAGAACATTTTCTTCGCAGCACGCACGCCGGCCACGCTGTTCGCCGTGATGTTCGTCATGTACGTGGCGTCGGTGGTGACGGGCTTCGTGGGTCTGAGCCCTGCGGCGGCGCTGTGTAACCTGCTGATGGGCCTGGCGCTGCTCTCGCTCTGCGTCTGGGTCTATGTCAGATACTCCGGGGAGTTCAGAGAGCTGGGCTGCTTCATCGACCGGCTGGCAGAAACCCTGTGGGAGCAGGTGCGCAGGTGCGTAGACAAGCTCTGGTTTGCAGTTTCCCCCACTTGCATCTCTCAACCAGCTGTACTGAAAACATATTTTATGATTTTATGACATTTTATGATTTCGTCAGATTCAGTATTAGGGCTGGGCAAAAAAAATTTACTTTTTGATTAATCGGTTTTTTTTTTAAATGACGTCGATTCGATATCTATGTTTTCCGGTATTTATTTCGATCGACGTTCAAAACCGGACAGAGAACTCAGGAAACACCTTAAATACACAAGACATGACGAGAAACACCTGGGATCAATGAACATAATAGGAACAGGAAACATGAAGGACCATATATGGGCATGGACATAACCTGGAGCACGTGGGGAAGCACATTTTCTGTTTTGAATTTTTAAAAATCACAGCTTCATCGGAATGGTGCGAAACTCTGTGACTTTTATGGCGTTTGGAATGTGAACACACAAAAACATGGAGGGCATGATTCGAGCAGGCTAAGTGGTCGTTAAACAAATAGTCACACTTGTACTCTTCAGTCAAAAATGACCGACCATAGGAAATGAATGGGAAATCGGCAAAAACTAAAAATTCTGAGAATCTACAAATCTGACACAATGCAGATAAAAGTACACGGCAATGACAGCGTGAAACTCTAAAACATCAAAAGTGCAAAACCAACACATCCACTCACACACACACACACACACACACACACACACACACACAC